AAGTTTTTGTAGGATTAAATGAGTTAATATAGGTGAAAATGATTTGGTAAATTGTAAAGTACTACATAAAGTAAATGCAAAATTTCTCAGACAAACTGATTTTAAGCTCATGCTATCATTTAATAATAAATCCCTAGCAAGCAAGTGGGATCTGCAAGGAGACGAAAGAGTGAACCACTATGGAGAGAGTTTGTCTGGGAAACAGGATGCTTACATAAGCATGTAGTTAGGTAAAGATGATGGTTTCATGTTGCAAAGACATAAAATATCAGCTTCATATCAGGTGTTATATAGGAAATCTGGGATGGTTCTGTCTGAGATGCCAGGTGTGCTACTAGTCAGGAACAAAAAACAAATGATCTAAGAAGCAAATGATAAGGGTACATTGGTGGCTGATAATTGGCATAACAAAGCTTCATTCCCCAATAGAATCTAATAGGCTCCAATTAATCTAGAACATAAAATGATGTCAAGTACAGATCAGTATCAAGCAACAAAGTTCTGCTTTCAAATAAACAGCTACCAGTGACTATCTCAATTTGCAAACATTGATACAGATATATGGTTTGCCCATTCCTTTGTTTTGGGAAATATTTTTTCTTGCAGATGTTAGTTGTTAGCCTCCCTCCATAGGAAAGCTACTACTCAATGGGTCCTCCAGATAGGAACTCAGCATTATGCCAGAGTTTGTTAGAAATGCAGACTCTCAAGTCCACCCAGACCTACTGAATCAGAACCTGCAGTTTAACGAGATCTTCAGGTGACTACAAGCATTTAAGTTTAAGGTGCACCGTCCTAGGGATCCTCTAATCGTTTTTCAAATGGAAAAACAAAAAAATCAGGCCTTGAAGGGTGATTTTTTCACCCTTAAGGTGTAATATGCAGGAATGGCAGAGCTTGGACTAGAACAAAGGTTTCCGGACTCCACTGTCAGGTTCCAGCATTGCGGACCCCCTTCCCAGCCTGGTTCTTCAGCTTCCTAGTTGGTAGGCTTTGGAAAAGCTACTGAGCCTCTCTCTGAGCCTGTTTCCTCATCTGTAAAATGGAGATGATAGCATTATCTATCTCACACAACTGTAAGGATTAGTTCACATTAGATTATCTCTGAACAAACACTCTGTGCAAGTAAGGCACAATTTACATGCGAAGTTGTATTATTCTCAAATGAAAAGGCAGATGGTGTGCCACATAATTTAAGCAATAGAATTAGATTTTTTTATTTTTTTTTTTGTCTTTTTCCGTGTCCAGCAACGGATCGCAACCCTCAGTGTCGCCCCCGCACCGGACCGGGACCGGCAACGGGATCGCAACCCTCGGTGCCGCCCCCGCGCCTCGCTCAGCCAGTGAGCGGGAACCGCTCTGCACGTGGGATCTGAACCCTCGGCGGGAGCGCCGCCACGCTTCCCAAGCGGCGCACCAGCGCAGTGCGCCACCGGGCCGGCCCAGAATTAGATATTTTATGGTACCCAGAAGTATAGTTATTATCTCTGGAAACCTTCATACCTTGACAACAGTGTTTATAAAATAGTTGTTTTTCCTTTTAATGTTTTCCAGTGAAAGCCTTATATAAGCTGGACAGCAGATGTACCCTGCTAGTCACTGTTATTTAATCACCTGGTGGGTTAGGCTGACCTCTTGTTATTATGAATTTGGTGAACTGAGGCCAAATCCAACATTTGGAATAGGCATACACCTGTGTAAATCGAAGACCCTATTTTCCTGGTCACGAGAGCAATAGGAGGTTGAATTACCTGGTTTTTAGCTCCATCTAGTGTCTATACTTGATTCAGTTTTTGGTTTTCCAGAAAAATTGTGGAGAATTCTAGTTTTAACACAAACCCATCCAACTTCTCACTATTAATGGGAAATGTTTCAATATACTCATGTTGAGGCTTTTTGTTATACTTAAAATAATAGACTTATGAGTCTTGGAGCTGGTCAGAAAGTTGTAGGCCTTCCTATCTAGAACGGAAAGATTAGAGTCATCTTTGATATGCTCATTCTGTCATCAAGCCCTAAAAAAATTAATTTCTCAAGACATTGTCCAGCCATATGTGCTAATTTAATGCTTCTTTTGGTATTGCCTGCTTAGTGAAGGAAGGTATTGGACATTACTCTATACTCTAGACTTTGGGCATCCAGGCCCTTCTCCCTTGGAGTGTCTTGGAGAGGAATCGCTATTGGTGCACTCAGAAAGACAAGACTTGAGCAACAGGGTTTCCAGCCTCACAAAAGATGCCCTTTCCCCACAGTGTGGTTGAGAAGCAGTAGAGAGCTGCCAGACCTGAGGGAGCCATGTCAGGGATCAGCACAAGCTGTGTGACCAGATGGTCAATGACAAGAGGCCAACCTTTCCCTTCACCCCTTTCTTGAAAATGTATCATCTCAACCCTTAGAACTAAGATACAATGCTAGGAATAGAAGTGGGGCAGGAAGCCCCTAGAATGTCAGAACGGGAATTCCTGTTTAGCAGGAAGGGAACTCAGAGTCAAGATTAAGTTGATTTATAGAAAATAAAGAGGTCCAATATTCTTGCACAGAGGTTTGTGGCTGGAGAATCAGATCTCTATATGTAGGACTCCGTCCAAGATTGGGCGTATACTTGCACACTTGGAACTTGAGGCATTTCATGTCAAGACGCTGGGCAGACATGAATTTGGGCCTTTAGAAGTCACTGATAACTGAGGGAATACCTGGAGCCTCTCAGAAGACCAGATTTGAAAGCATGCTACTGAATTATTTAAGCTCCTCAGGCAGATTCAGGGTAGTTGGCAGAAGGAGGGAAGACAGGGTGAAGTGAAGTGTGCTCTGCTTGTGTTTCATTCTCTGCAGCCCCTAGCAGTATACAAAGTAAAGAAGGGAACACGAGGTGATTCTCAAGGCCTCTATCTTAGTCTCTGACTTTCTAAAAAACTGCCTGGTTCTCTGAAGAAGGAAGACACATAGCAGCCAAATCCCTGGGGGTACCCTAAGCTGGAAGAGACAAGGAAGGATCTTTCCTTAGAGGCTTTGGAGGGAACATGGCATTGCTAACACCTTGACTTCAGACTTCCAGCTTCAGAACTGAGAGAGAATACATTCCTTTTGTTTTAAGCCACCCAGTTTGTTATACTTTGTTAAGGCAGCCCTAGGAAACCATTACAGTGGGTAAACTCTCTGATGGAACACAAGCCCCTCCCTGGAGTCTGTGGGCATTTTCTGGGGAGGGACTCCTGCCTCAGCAACAGGGACAGTAGACTCCTGACCAGTGAGGGCTATGGTGATGCTAGCAGATGCTTGAATTAATGCTGGCCACCTGAAGAAATACCTAACGGTTACTAAATTTGAAGACCTCGATGTTCTTTTTAAAAAAAAATTTTGTTTTTCCTTTTTGTCTTTTTTCGTGTCTGGCAATGGATCGCAACCCTCAGTGTCGCGCCCGTACCGGACCGGGACAGGCAACGGGACCGCATCCCTCGGTGATGCTCACACCCCTAGCTTTTCCAGAGAGCAGGAATGC